GATAGATAGATAGATAGATAGATAGATAGATAGATAGATAGATAGATGACACATTATTTGGGCATGTGGTTAAATAATAATCTGAGCCTAAACTTGAACCCTGCTAAAGTCACTTAACCGCCGTCTGCCTCAGTTTCCTGATCTGTAAAATATGGATAATAATAGCAACTACCAACCATCTAGTGTGGTGTGAATCTCAAATGAGATAATATTTGTAAAGTGCTTTATACCCCTAAAGTTCTTATAAACATTAGCTCTTATTAAGTATTAATGATCCTGGCAATGTGAGCTCTTCGAAAGCAGAGCCTGTCATTTTTCTTTCAATCTTCAAAGCCTAATACGATGGTATACACAGAGTAGGCACTTAATAAATTTCGGTTGAATGTCACTGAATGAGTGACACTAGTAGTGTAATTGTTTTATTTTTTCCAGAAAATATGTTTGTTCCTGTGAAAGTTGCAATCAATCAATCAATCAATCAATAACCATGTATTAACTGCCATTAAGTACCAGAAACTGTGCCAAGAGCTGAGGATACACTAAAAGGCAAAAGACAGTTCCTTCTCTGAAGGTGCTTATAGTCTAGAGGAAAATAACCTGTAGAGAAGAAAGGAAAGTCTTCTTAAAGATAAGGAAAGGTGGTAAAGAAGACCAGAATGGAAATGAACTTCCTTTTCATTTTCCCAACAGCTTTCCTCTTAACTTGGAAACAATTTTCAAATGTGAAAAGTTTAGATTTATGTCCTGAGGAACTGCAGCTAATTGCTTTGCTCTATCACAATCCTTCTTGACCTTAGCAGTAATCAGACCATTGGCTCTCACTGGTGTCACTAGCTGTACTCTTCTATAGGAGAAATAACTAATGATTCCTCCTAATATATTGAACTGAATTTAACAGGATTTCCTGAGGGTGAAAAAATCAGGTCTTTATTAACTTAGTCTAATATTTAACTTGATTCATGCCATTTTAAATCTCTTTGCCTCTGTCTCTAATCCTTCCCCTGTATGTGCAAACATACCCAAGTCATTCTTATTCTAAAGTAACTTTTAGGTTTATTTTCCTCATGTCCTGGAATTTAATTATAATACCTACCTCCCATCATACTTTGTGCATGTCCATATGTGTGCATCTGTGGTGTGTGAGTGTGTGTGTGTGTGTGTGTGTGTGTGTGTGTGTCCAGCTATACTGGCCTACTTGGTTATTGCTTCCTTGTGATACTCCATTTCCTGCTTCCCTGTCTTTGCACTGCCTGTCCCTCATGGCACTACCTCCTGGTTTCTCCAGCTTTTTTCAAGACTCTGTTCAATTTTCACCTTCTGTAAGAGGCCTTTCCCCTCTATTTGTTTCTCCACCCTCATTGCTAGTGCCTTTCCTCTGAGATTACCTGTCATCTATTAGGCACATATCATGTGCATTCACTATTATTTGCATATTAACTTCATCAGAATATTAGCTTGAAGTCAGTGACCGTGTGTGTGTGTGTGTGTGCGCGCGCGCGCGCGCATGTGTGTGCTCTTATCCACAGTGCTTAGCAAAGTACCTTGGACATAGTAAGTTCTTATATCTGCTTATTGTCTTAGTGATTGTATTCAAACCTGGTATAGGGAACTCTGAATAAAAAAAGACCCTTTTACCAATGTCATTTGGCAACTTTCCTTAAACTTGTCATTTTAAAGACTTGATTGTGACCTTGAGAGCTTAAGTGACTTGCTCACAATCAGAAAGTCAGTGTCAGAGAATGGTGTGAACCCAGATCATCCTGAATCTGAGACCAACCATTAAGACTGAGCTTTTTGAGAACAGTACTCCCAGGACTCACCAGAGTGACTGGAACATAGTAGGTATTTAATAAATGCATATTGACTGAATGCCTGCTTCTGTATATATTGTCACTTCTCACTTCAAGCTTGCTTTGGTCCCAACTAGATCCTCTATCTCTTTGTTTACCAAAATACAAAGTTTCTCTGTTTTATAACGTTTCATGAAGCCTTTTCCTTCCACGAAGAATAAGGAACGGACTCATACTTCACTTAAAAAAAAAACAACCTCCATTTATTTCAAATAAAATACGGGCATTAGGCTTGGAGTAAAAAGAGCTGGGTTCAAGTCCAGACCTACTATTTACTCATCGTGAGATCTCAGGCAAGACATTTTTCTTCTTGAAGACTCAGTTTTGTGATCTAATAAATGAAATATGATATTTGCCCTATTTCCAACCAAACTGTTGGGTGGAAAGCGTTTTTAAACCACAAAGTGCTGTATGCATATGAATACTTATTGTCATTACCACCAACACCATTGCTGTCGTTGTCATCGTCATCATTATCATCATCATCTCAGTCTTGCAGAAAAATCTAGTGTGAGCCAAGTTCTGAAAAATGTTAGAGGTGCTGCTAGTAACAAATAGCTGCCATCAAGTAAAAGGGGATTAGTCATTACAGACTCCTTGTCTCCATTCATACTAGGAAATTAACATCTCTACATCTACAGAATGCTTTATGAAATTCTATAGCCAAGATCTAAGCTCTATAGCCATAACAGGTCATCCCCCCCATTGTAAAAGTCTTGACCTATTACTTTGTCATTATTTTGCTGTATGTCATACTATGAGTACTGAAAAATGAACACACATTCTGTGGATTATTTTTCCTATTTTTATTAAATTGCCTATTGTTATGCTTCTATCTTTTTGGGCCCTTTATTGTTGTTTCTCTTTGATCATTTCAGTTGTGTTTGACTCTTCATGACCCTATTTTGGGGTTTTCTTGGCAAAGATACTAGAGTGGTTTGCCATTTCCCTCTCCAGCTCATTTTACAGATGAGAAAAATGAGGCCAACAGGGTTAAGTGACTTGCTCAGGTCACACAACTAGTAAGTATTTGAGGCCAGATTTGAATTCAAGAAGACTCATTTTCCTGACTCCAGACTTAGCCCTCTATCCATTGCACCACTTAGCTCCCCTAGGAATTAGAATATATGTTAGTTTCATAGAATCATGGAGCTAAAAGGTACCTTAGAACTCATAGAGTCCGCTGCACTGCCTAATAAATCCCATCTTTAGCATGTAGAAAATTCATGAAAGTTGTTTAAATGTGTACAAACATGGCAGACTGGTTTATTTAATCATATCAGAGATAATCAGCTAACCAGATTTTATTGCATATCTAATAGGAGCAGGACCCATTTTCAGGAACAAATTATGAAGCAAACTAAGAACAATTACCAAGCTACATTCCAACAAATGCAAAATAATGAGTGCCAAATACATTTGCCCTGGGGGAACCAAGAGTACAGAAATTTTTCTGCAGTAAACTGTAAGCTCGCTAACATTGAAGACCACTTTTCTTCAGTAGGATATATAGGCCTTGATGTTGCAATTAGAATAATGCCATGTATCCTACAGGTGTCTTATAAATATTAATTTGTAAAAATCAGCATAATAATGCTATTTTATAACCACAAAATAATATTTCATTCATGTTTCAAGCAGGGAATATTAAAAATAGAGTGGTGAAGCTTTAGAAAGAGCAGTTCTGAAGTCTCATGCTATGTTTTGAAAGGATTAAATTGAGCTTTTTAAACAGGGCTCCTTTTTGTGTATTTCTGTTGTGACTAGAATATGACAATTTGTATAGACTATTGGAGATTCTCATGTTATCTGTCATAAATACTGCCATAACCAAATGAACACACATATGTAGGTGGATGAGTTGACAAAATATCTTTCATTCATTTTTTCTCTCTCATTTTATTATATCCCTCATGCCTCAAAAAAGATTGATTTTTATATTGTACTTTATATGGTACACAACATTTTCTCTCAACAGTCCTGTAAAGGTTTAATACCAATCCAAGTGTAAAACTTTTGAGTCTAATTTCCTATGGTATTTTACTTGACATAAACCTGCAATATTTTACTTACATCTGTGAGATAGCCAAAAGTTTGCTCAGCTGTTTGAAGCACCAGTTTCCGGGTCACCCAGTCTAATTCTAAAGAGGGAGGAAAAGAATTAAAGCTTTCAATAATTTCAATATGAACTGAAAGAAACTACTGATAAGCCCCCAAAAAAAGTTGTTCATGCAGCCTTTGTCAGTAATTTCTAAGTTCTTTATCAAGCCATATGACTAATTATCAATTTATATACAAATGCCATTCTAAAAGAGTGAGCTAAATTATTTTCTACAAGCCATTAAATTATCATTTTGAACAGCAGAAAGCTGTTTTTATCTACTTAGCCACTTTGATTGGGACACAATAATAATAAGCTAAGGCCAAAGTTTCTTTCTTTATGATGGCCTACTAGGTTTT